AATGTTATAGGTCAGTACAGGTCCATTTCTTGCTTTACCAAAGTATAAGAGATTCTTGTTGTTTCTGATACTTTTAGACAACTCTACTCTGTAAGTCTAACAAATACTGGATTATAGTATGTAGGAAAAAATAATTTATTGTCCCTTGTAAGTGGCCCAGTGATACAGGGCAAAGAGTGATGTCCAGTTGTCCTGAAAAATTAACTGCTGTGTGCCGAGGGTTGTTTTGATTATTGGTCAGTTAGCTGAACTTTGCCTCGCAGCTTTTGGTAAGGATTTGTGTTCTGTGCTTTAGTTCGTCTAGTTAAACCAGAAATGCATGCCACAGATATGTTTTGTTGCTCAGACAACAGGAGCAGAGTTTGAGTGAGTAAAATCCCTCACACTTATTAACCTAGATACTTTTTAAGAGTAGGCTTTGTTAGAATCAGACTTCCTTTTGTTAGAAAAATAAAGCAGTGAAAGGGAAAGCTTAGCCACTTGAGTGCAACCTCAGTTGGAGGCATTGGCACATCTGAGGGTTGTCCCTGTCACCCAGTTAAATGACCCAGGCAGATGTCCCTCTGGAGTGAGCCTGTAAATCAGGAGCCTGAAATCCTTAGTGTCTGAGGAGGCTTTAACAAGGTTATCTGCACATTGCTGAGGAGGCGTTTCTGCTGTGTTTACCTGTCAGTCAGGAACTAAATACATTTTTCAACTATTTTGTATGAGCCTCTTAAATAGATATCAGGTAACATAATTTTCTCATCCTAAGCTCAAAGCACTATGAGAAGACAATTGTTCCCTCTGTTACTGAGCTCACAAATTTGTCTCTTCCCTGTCCTTTGCTCAGATAGCAAGGAGAGGATTAAGATTATTAACTAAATTTTCTTGGTCACTCTAGTTTTCTTTTAAAGTCAGCAGAGGAAAACAGCTCTTCTCAGACAAGTTGAACTGCATCCTGAATGTGTCCCTTTCTCTCTGTCGCCTCTGAAAGGAGCACAGGGCAAACAGCTCAGGTGTGCAAGTCAGAGGCTTGGTGAAAGGAATCCTCCTGCACATGTCCAACCATTGTATGGGTCAGGCACCACAACCTGGCAATGTGGGCAGTGTGTGCCTGGGGAATCACAGGACACAGCCCCTGCCTAATCCTGGCTGCTCTGACCTCCTACGCATTTGTGGTAGCTGCAGCAGGGTATCCACTTACTGCATACATTTGAACTTCCCTAGCTACTTTGAAAATATTGTAAACACCATATATGTGTTGCTTAAGTTATTTGCCATCACAAAAAAAATAGAACCTTTTTTTTTATGCATTCATTATTTAATTCACACTCTGCCATTCTCATTACAAGCGTGATACAGTTTATTGATGTAACAGGGCATTATCTTCAGTTCCAGTTTTTTGATCCCATCATGATGATGCTGCTCTATGTTACCTTTTTCACATAATGGAAATCAATGTCATAACTTGGCAATTTAATAATTTATATAAATTCCATATAGTACCATTATACACTTCAACTGCGAGGCAAAATCAGGTGAATACTGGCAGTCAGGAATAGATTTTTCCTTCAGCTGATTACCTGTGCAAGTTTTATTGTAATCCATAGGGGTTCTGATTCCTGAGGAGAGACAGCATGTTTTCAGTGATGATTTGCAGGCTTACTGTCTTCAGCATGGTGGACTGATCTGCTCATAAATAGCCTACCATCACAGTTTACAAAACAGTGTTTCAGAGTGTAGGTCTGATCAATATCTGGTGTAAATTAATTCTTTTTAAATCTATAGCCCTATGTCTGTTTATATCACATGAGAAATTGTCCAAATACTACTGCCAGTCCAACAACTGAAAATGCAAAACCTCTTTGTTTCTGTTAAGAAGCAGTCAAGACAACCACCACCAGAAATGCAGAAAGTATGAAGTTAAACCTGAATTGAAGGGGAGGGGACAGGAACTCAAGCTTTTGAATGTGAGGAAGACAAAAATAACCCTAGTTTGTCCTGGCTGATACAAGATTATCATCTTTGCATCTGGCACACTGTAAACATTCATTGCAGATACTGATTTTATGATACATTTCACATGGGTGTGACTCAGCCAGCAACTATGAGAATTTCTCTCTGTGTTGACCTTTCTAATATTTACATGAAAAATTGGGAGGTAATGATGTGGGACACATGTTGAGAAATGCTCCTCTGTGTCCCATGCTTAGATAATTGGTCATTGCATCTCCTTTTGCTCCCAAACATCTGCTCTCACTACAGCTGTTCAGGATGTAGCTCCTCTTCTCCATATTGCCATCCTTGCACACGTAAAGGCAGTTAAACTGAGGAAAGCAGGCATCCGGGTCCAACTTGGCCAAAAATGAAGCTATCCTCTTCCTTCTCAAAGTAAACCAATTCAAGTTGTCATGATGGTCACTTATTTTCTCTTCCCAAACTCTGTACATAGCAAAATAGAAACAAAACACCCCTTTCTGTCTGTAGTCAATGTCTCTGTGTAGTGTTTTTATTTGCATACAGCTGACCTGACTCACTTCGGCTTTGCTGTGCCAGTTTTCCTTTTCTCATTGGTGATTTTTTTATGTTTTGAAGCTTTTTTTTGTTAACATTTGCTTAATAGCTGTACTAAGAGTTTGCCCAGAGAGGCTGTGGAATCTCATCCTTGGAGGTAACACAGACCTGGATTGGAGATGGCCCAGAGTAGCCTGCTCAAATGGGTCTTGCTGTCTGCAGGTTCTGAGAGGCTGAATCACAGACCTGGATTCCCTTCCAACCAGGTTTATCTCTGCCAGTTATTTGAGCTGTTATTAAACTTGCTGTAGTCCTAGACTTTACATTGGTGTTCAGACATTTAAGTCAAGACTAGATGTCACTGCCGCAGGCACTATTCAGCACAGCTAACCCAAGCATGAAAAAAATTGCCATAATTGCCATAGATTCTAAAATGCTGCATTATTTTCAGTGGCATTCTTTTCAGACCTGAGAAGTCAAAGGAATTAAGATCTCTTTGAAAACATACCAAACTTCCATGGCATTTGCAGGAGCTGAGATGCTCCAGTTTTTACCCCGCAAAAGCCACCTGCCCGATGATGAGAAAATTGCAGTAGATATCCCATTGGGATTGATGCTTTATATAAACTCCTAAAATCTGCTCGTTGTGTGAAATAAGTGGCTGGTCTTCTATAGGCTGTTAGACTGCACTGTTACACAGGTTTCTTTTTGTCTTCATATTTGTAGCTATGCTACTTTTAAAACTGCTAACAGCTTTTCAGATTTGCTAGCAGGAAGACAAACTGATTTCATTCACTAGAAACTTTAGTAAATCTATTTATTTATTTATTTTCCTCAAAACTTTCAAAAAAGGACATGTCTTTTGTTAGTGATCAGCTGAGGTTACAGTCCTGTCAGAGGCAGCTAAATGTTCCCAGACTAAATTTATCAGTCTCGAGAAGGTTATTTTTTGACAAAATAGGGAGGTGGGAATGATTTTTAAAGGTGAAGAGTTGAATTGGTAACAATTGCTGCACAATAGCTGTAACTGAATATCTGACAAAACAAACAAGTGTGCTCTAGATAAATAAAGGGGGAACCAAAAAAATGACACAATAACAGATGCACTGCAGTGAGGAAAAGAAATGCACTTGTCAAAAGCAAATTAAATATGTAGTACTATAGAGTTCAGTTTCTCTGAGGGGAGCATACTGTGCACCTGCCCAAACAAAGTGTGTGCCACATCCAGCACATACATTGGCAGAAAAATCAGTTGTGCTGACTGTTCTAACATATTTGTTGTGGTAGTCAGTGGTTATTTTTAGTATGAAGGAAGAAAATCATGCTTTGCTATTAGCTGAGAAAAAGAGACTTTATGACTCTCAAAGGTTCACCTGTTGGTGGGCTCTCAGCCGTGGCCAAGGCACCACTGCAGCATTAGATAGTGTTCCGTTGGGGTCTCAGGAGGAGTTTGACCCTGGTTCTTTTGTTCACCAGTTTATTCTGAAAAGTATTTGAGCTAAATAAGTAACAGTCACCTGTTTGGTGGAGGGTCAGTGAGAGGAGAGGTCATGCACCTTGGCAGGAGGCTGCACAACCGGTTCAAGAGAGCAGAGTCCCCAGAGGGACAGGACTACTCAGTCCTGCTTTTGGCTGTAGGAGGGAGTGTGAATACATTGTGGGGAATACATTTGTGTTCAGAGAAATGTGTGTTTTTGTCTCATGTGGGTGCTTTTGAAAATTTCTACCTCTGGGGAAAACTGTTGTTTGTTAGCTCAGTATTTTATTGTAGTGTACAACTTCACTGAATGTTAGCTACTGACATTTGAATCTCTTCCCTGTGCTTTGTCTTTTCCCTGCTGCTTTCTCTGTCTTTGAGTGCCTTCTTTCTCTCATTCCCTTCCTAGTTCTGTGCTGACAACTGTCCTGCCTCTCACTGTCCTATTTCTCCCATACATAATCAGGAATGAAAAAAAGGTCATTATTGACTAGTGGGAGGCAAGACATAATGCTCCAGCTAGATTAGTAGGGAAGGAAAATGCCCTCATCTCTAAAGATCTGTGGGAAAAAAATAGGTATCCCAGGTACCTACATTAGGTGAGTAGAATCCAAACCTTAATTTATGGTAGGTGTCAGATCTGATGCAGAAATGTATGAAGCATTTGAAATTTGAACCACCATCTGGATAATTGATAAATTTAAAGTACAATGAATTATTAAGGGACAAAAAGTAATTGAGGACAAGCTCCAGGGGTTTATGTCATGTGTTCAGTGTACCTCAGGTATCTATGTATAGACACTAATTATTAGCTTTTCTTTATCACTGGCGTTCTGGTCATGCTCCTGTTTTTCTCAATATGTGATATTTTACAACCATTTTCCCCCACAGGGGCTGCTGATGGCAATAACTCATCCTTTTTCCCATGGTCTGAAATTGGAGTCTGGCTGTGAGCAGTCTGTAGACATGCAGTTACTGTTCTGAATCTGACCTATAATTTCATTTTGTTTCTCTTTCCAACCAGAAAATGAAGAGTTTGGCCCAAAGACGCCAGTCTGCACCATCTTTGATCTTTGTCAAAGCACTTAGCAGATCTAGATCGGCCTCAAGGTGAGTAGCTGTACTGTTTTGCAATTTCTCAGCCCAAAACTTGGCATGTTTTTGAATTATTGTCCATACCAGGTTGTGGAACACAATTCAGGCTGCTCAGGAGATGCACAACTATAAAGCCTGCTGAGAGATGTGACAGAGCTAGCCCAGATGCTGGCTGGTCTCCTAGAGTGTTTTTCCCTGGTGTTGCCACACTAGCTGTGTTATACCCCAGTGGGTGGGCAGAGCTGCTCTGCAATTTGCAACTGGGCATGCAATGTTTGAGCTACTCAGTTGTAAATAGCTTGTGACTGGCTGTGGATGCCTGCTGGGGTGATGGCATGGGGAGAAGATGAATGTTTCTTACTTTTTGCCTTGTACACTTACGCAGTGCCAGACATATCAGGAGGGTGTATTGTGGAATTGAGCAAGTTAATTTGAGTTAAGTTTCATCTGTCATGGCCTGCTGCATGGAACAGGCTCTCCAGGGCTCTGGAAGCATCTGCTGATTCAGGATGATGCTGTGGGCCAGGATCTGGTGATCACAGCCTTCTCCTGTCCAGTATTAGCACTTGTGGGGCTGAGTATATCGGTCTTAAGCACTCAGCATTTTTGTCCTTGTCCTCTGCCAGAATCAGCCATTCCTCCTCCCTCCCTCCTGCAATGTAAAGCTGCCATAGAAATGGGAGTTTCTATGGAGCTAGTCCCCTGTCCAGCCCCAGCCTTGACCTGCCATTTGAACCACTCTGCGTACATAACTTTTGTCTCCCTGTGCTACAGTTCGTTAGACTTTAAACTTACAAAACGTAAGCGTCTATCAAGAAGTGAACCATCTGGTAGGCTGTTAATGCTTCCAGCTGTGTGTTGCTCTTTATGAAGAAACATTACTGAGGGAAATAAAAGTATGGCTTTGTAAGGAATATTTTTCCCTACTCTGTGGGGTGTTAAGTAAGCAGTATGTGAGCTTTGGAAAGTTTTTTGTGTTCCATCTCACTAATACCTGGTTTGATATCATGCAGAATTCCACAGTATTTCAGAAACCTGTGAAAGTATTCTGTGGAAAAAATCAGAGTTGCAAAATAGGAAAGGCAGATGAGTTGAAACTACTTGCAGGTCTTTTTTGCTGGCTATGACATAAAAGAGGAAACTTAGAAATTAATTTCTGAAGGCATTTGCACCTTTTTGTGTAGTCCAGTGGCCTGAGTCTAGGACTGAGAGCCAGGTTCTGTCTGTAAAATTTCTTCTGTGGCCTCTCTCTGGCTTTGTTTCCAGGTGTTTAAAATAAGATGAATAGGTATTTTGCAACCTCTTCATGAGAATATTGAAACTGTTTAGATCGTCTGTACTGCCATATTTTTTCTACATTTACTATTATTTTTTCATTGTATTTGTAGCTATGTTCATACCACCTTTTGGGGCGTAGATGACATGTTCATAACAGAGGTTGTGAAATTAGATCCAGGCTGTTACTATGGGGAGTAGCAATAACTCCCCATAGTATGCAATGAGCAGTAGAGTACAGGGGAGAAGATATGGGATCTCTCAGCCCTTGGACTTTAGGATTTCCTGCAGTTTTTTACACCTATGTCTCTGTAATGTCTTTCCTTCAAGCAGTCTTAAGACTTGCTCCTCGGTATTAAGAGAACAAACTGTATTCAATGCTTGTATTTCAATCTGCTTTCATTTGCCTGCGGGGGTTCAGAGATGAACATTTTTCTTCGATTCTACTCTTTTGTTTGTTTGTTTTATTGTCTGCTCCATAAGTATCAGAAATCAGAAGTAGCTGGAGAGACCCTGAGTGGGATACACACTCAGTATGTACATTTCCACCTAAGAATTTTATGCTTTCTGAAGGGTAAAATATGCCTTACTTGTATAGCCCAGATCAAAATTATTTCAAAATCTGGTATGTGAAAGGCCAGTTGGCAGAAACGTTGTGGTAGAGAGGACTGGAGAGGGGAAAACATTGCTTTGTTCTGCAGTAAGGGCAATACCTTGCCTACCCAATGGACTCTGCCTTTTTTACAGCTGATGGATGCTGCCTCAGTCATGTCTGTCCTCTGCCTATGACATACAACAATTTAGCTGCTCCTATTGTTTGGAACTGGTCTGTGGCCTTTATGAGAGGTATCAGGTGAAGTTTGAGGATCCTGGAGTCAGAGCAGGTGATTTTGCAGCTTCAGAGTCATTTAGTTAGAAGGTGACACTTCAGGTGGTGTTTATTATTGTTCACAGGAGCAGCAGTTCTCACCTGTGCCTGACTTCCTTGTTTGGCTGTGCAAAGCACATTCCTCTTCATCACCAAACTGATGGATGAGTTTGATCTTTCCACTTGGTTTGGTTGTGTAAATGCTTAACTCTTGTGAAGTGCTTTCTCTGAAGGAGAGCTGAAGAGCAAGAAAATGACTTCTCATGTTTTCTAATCTCCTCCAAATGTTTTATCTCAGACCTGTCTCAGCTCTTAGTTCTTGTAAATGCAAGATCCATTATTCTTCTCTGGCAGTGAACTTTAATACTAGGACTCTATAACACTTACTTGTTAATGGTTGATTAATGACTGTAGATAATAAAGCTCCTATCTGAAGTTAGCAAACATCTGTGTGGGATTTATATGAATACTCTCACCTCAGCAGCTGGCTCACCTCAGTATTTGTTGAAATTAATGAACAAGTGCAAAGTTTAAAAGGGCAGGAAAAACTTAGAAGCCAAGTCAGTTTGCATTTTTATACCACTTTATATGTCAGGCATCCCTGGTTTATATAGGGGGCACTTTCATAAAATGTAGTGGCACCCACTTTGGACAGACTTACTTTGGGGCATTTGAAAGTTTGTTAATGCTATTTATTCAAAGAAACCGTTGTGACATCTGGAGATGGCTATTTGGCATTCAGAGGATTAAGGTTTTTTAATGGTAGTGTTGTAGCTGTGATGTAATGAGGATGTGAGCAAGGCGAGGTGATCTAGCTGGAAGAAGCAGATTCTTGTTCATGTTGTTGTCCTCTTATCCAGTCCTGAAAGAGAAGCAAATCCGAAACTCCTGTGTGCTTAAAATTTTGTCTCCTCTTTCTCCAGCTATATAATTTGTTTTAATTAAAGTTCAGCCTTCCTTACACATCTTGCCTTGCCACGTCAGTCATATGAAAGGACTTACAAGATATTTGGCCTACAGAAGAATTCTGGGATGGCTGTATGGCACTGTGGTGCACAGGTGTGCAACCATGCACATACATTTAACATAGTAAATAATACAGATACTATACTGGAATTTATGCCCTTACATCCACGAGATGAAAATACGCAGGCAATTCCATTGCGTCCTGTTCTTGTTTCCCTTCCTTTTTTTTTCTGTACAGCTTCTCTTTCATCCCAAAATAGTGATGAATAGGCATGCAAGGGCTGTTCCACATCATCATCAGATGTCCTCTTTGGAAGCACTTTGAGCAAAGTTATTGTAGAAATACATTGGAAAAGTAAGGTTTTGGTATTTTTCTTGGCTGATACTCAGATGCAGGAGAAATAAGTTTGATTGTTAACTCCGTTAATGTGTATGAAATCAGCAAAGGATTTCGGTTAGTTATATTTGGCCCTGGACCTGTTCTGTGGTTGTAATTTTCCTCTTATTTTTTCTTGGTGTCCTTTAATGAAACCTGCACAACTTAATGGTATAGTTCAGTGCAACACAAATTACGGGCTTGAAACAGAAAGGTCTGAGGCCTGGATTTAAGCATCAGGTCTTGTTATCTCAAAGTAATTGATATAGAATAGTAAAGACTTGTTTCAAGTCAGATTTTCAGCCTTTCTTCTGCTGTCCCTCAAAACAATTTTTGCATGTGACAGATGTTTTTGCACCGTGTTGGCAAACTTCTGCTTGCATCTCTGATATTTCACAGGGACAGCCAAACTCTCTCATGCTGTCACTGGCAGCTTCCCCTTTTCTACTGCACGCTTCATCAGATCTCTGAAAGTGATATTTTTATGTGCTGAAACTTATTAATATAATTTCACAATTTCTGAGTCTGCATGACCATTTGTAGACCTGTATGTCTACACACTAAAGGTATTAAAATCTTGAAAATGAAATAACTCTATTACAGTGTGAAGTGTGTTTATGATGTTATTTTGGTGTAAGATAGAAGCAGGGGCTGTTTTAAAAAAAAACCCAAAGGATGTTTTTTAAAAGGTTTTATGAAGAACTCTCTGAAGAACCTGAAAAGGAAGTTCCTAAAATGTCACCCCGACTCAATTTTCTTGTGTGGCTTTTATGGTTGAAGAAGTGAAAGGTAAAAACTGAGGATTTCACAAGTTTCCAAGGTGTTTTCACCCCTTCTGTACGTGGAAGCAGTGTTATGCCATTCACAGAGAGGCTGCTCTTCCTTCTCCCAGTGCACAGTAAGTGATTCTGGCATGTTATCTTCCAGGGGTCCTGTGCCAAATGCTAAATATCCCAGATAACAAAGATCATATGTGTAATCTAGTAATACATTCCACTTGGCACTAGTCAAATACAGAGTGTTCCCAGAGTCTTGGACATTGTGTTTTCAGGGTTTTAGTCAGAAGATATGTGGATGATCCAAGCTATGTGACTAAGAAGAAGACAAAAATAGAGACTTTTAATAAACGTAAATTGCCAGAAGGCCTTAACTGTCTCTTTTTCACAAGGAAGATGAGTATTTGGTGTTTCAAAGCAAAACAGATTGCAGGGAGGAAGGGAGTAGAAGCTCATTGCAAGTAACTATCTTGTTAAGTAGGTATTTTGACTGTAATAATTTTGCTCGTTCTTCAGTCGTTTCTACGATAGCGAATAATTTTGCCTCACAGTATAATGTGCCGCAGGGCTTGTGGTTTTTTGGGAAGCATAAGGGCTGCCACTGTTGTCAGAGTGGTCCCCCAAGGTGAAAATCAAAGTGGCAGCACCCTGTGTCCTGCAATCCTCATCTTCCAGTCCTTTGTTGGAGAGACTCAGTACACGCAGGAATACAGAAGAGCCGTTCTGTGAATCAAAGTAAGAAAAAGGGCAAAAT